CCACACCCACATAAATTTAAATCCCACCCCTGGGTGGGGGGCATCGAGGATGAGTTTGTAGCACAAAGGGGGCGGTGGACTGAAAAAGTTTGGGAACCATTGATCTAGAGGTATAATTGGAGCTGACCTTCCTTTTTCTTAGGGTTCAACTTCAGCTTTGTTTTATCTTATACAGGACCCCATAACCTCTAGGTGTTGATGAAAACTTTCACTGTATCTCCAGTCTTTCCTAGAATGCCTACATTTGCTGACTGAATACCCTCAGCATATTAATCATACCTCACCCCAGATAACCTTCAGAAATATGCTCATGTACATATTAAAATGTAGAGTAAAGAGAATGGTTGCCTGTAAACTCTACAAGGGATTGAGCTCAGTTCTCCTTCCCAGCTAATTGCATTGTAGGAGGAAGGACTATAGGAACCATTATAATATAACACTACCAGTCCACAATGCTAACAGCATTTTCCTTCTAATATGTGTGGTGTATGCATGCATAAATATTATAGAACCTTACTATGTGTTCAATATTTTCACAGCATTTTAGTTCAATACTTAACATACAAAGCATTCATTTTATTTTCACCGTTCAACATAATACTGTCATTTCCATACAAATACTCCTTCAAACATTACTTCATTTCAGTTTCATATCATATTATTTTGTCACTTGTAATTCTGATCACTCTTTTGGAAGCTCCATGTTTAGCTATTTCCCTTGCAGAGATTCATATATTTGGAAAGAATGTTAAAGATCGCACTTCACATATTTGAAGACTACTGTTCTATTCCCTTTATTTTTTCTGTGGGTGAAAGATACCCATTCTTTTGTTGATCCTCATAGTTTGGTTTCCAGAACTTTATAACTTTTTTAGTAGCTTTCCTCTGAATGTACTTCTATTTGTCACTATACTTTTTGAATTATGGTGCCCATAAGTAAACAAAATACTCCAAGTGAGTAGGGCAGAGTTATCAAGCATAGAGAAAAGTGGAACTGTTTGTGATTAGTGCACCTCAAGTTAGTATTTGTCTTATTAGCCGTATCACACTGCTGGCTCATGCTTAATTCATGGAAATAGATTACTCATTAGCTTACATGGAAGCATGAATGAAGTAGTTCTTTGTGTTTCAATGTTTTTATTAAGGTGGTTGTAACCATGAATATAGAATTTGCGCAGAAAACTGAACTAGCAAGAATTGCTAATCTAAAGGAAGAGGAAATTTCACTGATGAAACCCATAGGAACTCAGCTGGAGAATAATTATCATAGAAAGGAATATCTAGAAGAATTAAATAGTCACATAAATGAGAAGACATGCAGTAAGCCTGAAGAATTGTATGGTAAAATGTCACCACTTGAAAGACAATTTGAACTTGATGCTAAACAAGCTACACTCTATGAAGTGCAACATTTTCATCCAAAGCTTTCAACATATTCTTCCTCCCATGAAGAAGAAATTATTGAAAAGATACCTATGGTAAATAAATTTTAAGAATACAGTTTAATTTTTGAGATTCTCTTTTATTTTCATGTGTGCATAATAGCAAAAGGCTTGTTAGCATGTTTGTTGCATTACAATATCAGATTTCTGTCAAACATTCTTAAAAATTCCCTTCTGGACTTTCCTGCCATTTTTTGCATGTCAGCTAAACAAATTGGAATGCTGTTTCTGTGGTTTGCACATTATTACATGCAGAATAATTCTGATACTTGCAGAAGAATTGGGGTCTCTGGTATGTTATAACAAACCAGAATCATAAGTCAAGAAATTAAAAGACGAAGAACTCAGGAAATCTATTCTCATATAACACTAAATAAATTTGAGCCCAGTTTCCTAATTTAGTTCCTCCTGTTGGCAGAAACTGATCTATTTCATTGTTGACTCTTAGCAACCATTTAGGTAAATACAAAATTCTCTTTATATTTTCTATCCACGTGGTTTTCTTGGTGAAAATAAAGGAGTGGTTGGCCATTACCTTTTCCCTCTCCGTATGAGTTGATGCTATTCCATTGTCTCTAAAATGATCATTACAGTACAGGTGCCTGCTTCCTTTAGCTGGAAGTGGAATGACCTTTGTGCCTTGGCTGACTCTGTTCTGAATATATAGTCTGAGCGCACACTCCTGATTTTCTTCACTCATCCTTCCCAGAAATATCCCTACAATGAGGCATCGCAACAGTATTAAGGGAAGGGGAGGAATGGATAAATTTTTAGCTGCAGCCCTTTATAATTTTATATAAAACAAAGTTTGAGACCAAAGAGGAAAAACCTTAAGTTATACATTTTTAAAATTGAATTAATTCAATTTTCTAAATAAGTATATAAACAAGTTCCATCTAAACTAAACTTTAAAAGAATAATAAGAATACATACACACACCAATTCCTGTGTGTATGTTTTTTTTTAAATAGGTCACACTGCGGTGAACAGGACTTGCTCCTTAGTTACTATGTTTAGGGTTTCAGCATAAAGCAAAATGCGTTGGTGTGTTTTTTAAATTGTATTAGGCGAAAGTTATATTTATGTTTCAGATACCATTACCAATTTGGGATATTTTCCCCTCCAGATTATTAAAAGTAATTTCCTAGAAAGAATAAAATATGCATTTTATTTGGACTGAAGAGTTGAATAGCATACTTGAAATTAAAATATAATGGAATGATTCCTAACAAACAAAACATTGAAAGCGGACAATACACAACTTAGAACTCCTACCTATAATCAAAATATCATAGCAAAGAAGATTTGTGCTTCAATTCTCTTTTACAGGTAGTCCTCGAGTTATGACTGTAATGGAGCCTGCTGATTAGGGCTGGAAGTCAGTACAAAGTTAAATGAATTGGCTCAAGTAATGACCAGCCATCCCTGCTGTCTCTATTGCACTTGTTAAATGAATGTTTGGGTTATTAAGTGAAGCACCAGTTGCTTCAGGGTAGAGGAGATCCTAGTAAGCTTAGTGCGGACACAGGTCCACCAGCCTCAGGCCTCTGAAGTCCTTCCCCACTCCTCTGAAATAAATCATACTCTACTTCCTGTCTCTTAGGGTCTCACATGCTTTGCCCAACATCTATTGCTGTTTATCCATTACCTTATACCACCTTCTTGAAGCTCTGGCAGCGTCCCTAGAGTTCATGGCTGTGGCCCAGAAGCATGTGCCATTTACAAAATGGCGGTAATGAATTGTGGCTTCAAAATGGTGCTTGCTTCCAGAAGGGAAGGAGAAACACATCCTAGAAAAGTGGAACTAGTTTTTTTTCTCTGAGCCTTCTCTCAATGCAGAAAGAAAACACAGAACACCACCCTTGGTTCTGCCTGTTCTGTCTGTTTTTCTGGGGCAAAAAAGAACCAGTTCCCTAGCCTTTGGGGGATTTCTGACATTATCATTGGGATATACTGCAAACCTGGCTTCTGACTCTTGCTAGGCTTTGGGAAGCTAGCCCCTATGTAAAGGCAGCAGTTTCAGGACAAGCTTCCCAAAACCTTTTCCTTGCTTTGACTCCTCCCTCCCCCAGAAAACCATGTTTCTTCATAAGAAAAACTGAAAATGTTGGAAGAGACAAACTTTTCAGCTTTTTGCCTAGAGAACTTACAGCAGAAATTCAACTCATAAGGAGTGCGATAGCGCAACATGTTCAGCAAACAGGATAGAAAATGGATCTTTGAAAAATTTTCGCTGTTTGTCTGACTGACTTTAGGACCCATTTAGGACTTTCCTGTAGAGTCCTAGCTGGATTCTAAAGTCAGTCAGACAAAGAGTAAAAAGCTGGGTTCTAAAGACTTAAACTTTTGGAGTTGTGTTTTTTTCTTCAGCTCAAGGCAGAAATATTTTCTTTGCTTCCTTCCTTCCTACCCTCAACTCTTCATCTTGGAGTCGAGGGATAGAGATTGGTGGACAGAGGTGGGGACTTTAGTTTTAGTGTCTGTTTGGGGGTTGGGGGAGAAGATCAAGAATTTTATGATTGATCATGGGCAAACAGCAGCAAATCCTGCCTCTTCCCAAAGCCTAGCAAGAGCCAGGAGAGGTTTGCATTCTTTTCACAGCCAGCTCATGTGGTCAGAAAGCTCCAAAAGCAGCCACCATTTCACAAGGAATTGTTGAAGTGCTACAAATGGTGGATGTTTCCAGCAGGCATAGGGAGCAGACCAAGCACTGCATGGTCATATCGGAGCAGGAGACAGGGAAAGAGGCAGGGAGTGCTGCTACATAAAGGTAAATGGCTATGGGGATGCTGCAGTCATTGTAAATTTGAAACAAGGTCATATGTAATTTTGAGACATGGTTCTAACTTTGGATGTTCGTTAAGTGACTTGTCAAATCTCGAGGACTACCTGTATTCCATTTTTAACAATTCTTCCTCCCTCTTATATTTTATCTATTTACCCAGCAACCATATTTCTGCTGAGCATAAACAATAAAAAATTCAGGTTGAGGATCTTTCATTTGCCATTGGAATGGATTAAGGTCTTCAGTGCAAACTACTTGTTATAACCTTGTCCACTTCTAGAATTGCTTATCAGAAAATAAAATGACAATTCTTTCATGGCTGATATTCTATTTTTAACACTTATAAACAAAAATTACAGATTACAAATGAAGTTTCAACTTCCAGCATTGTTACTTCAACCCAGATATTGTCTTATGAGGATCACCTGGAAGATATGCGTCAAGAGCTTGTTCGTCAGTATCAAGAGCATCAGCAGGCAACAGAAATATTAAAACAGAGTCACATGCAGCAAATGGAGAGGCAGAAAGAAAATCAAGAGCTTCTCCTAACAGAGCTTGATAGTCTTAAAATACGGTTAGCAGAGGTAATATGAACCTAGGAAACGGAACTTCTAATATTTCATGGTCAAAGTATTTGTCCAACTTTCAAGGTTCAATTTGTCTTAAAATCATAAATATAATTGCAATACATTTCATGTGCCTCATTTGCTATGAGGATGAAGCTTACTTGTTAATAATATCCCATGTATCGTTAATTTTACCTCTTAGTGTATTCAAAGAAGGAGATAAGTCAATCCCAGTGAGTTGGGGTATTTATTATTTTAAAGTATATGGGAGAATCTGGTACCACATAGAACTCACTCTATTGTATTTTGCTTATATTTATTTATAAACTTTGGTTTTGTTACATTTGCAGAGTTTCTAATATGAGACGTCTCACTTTGTTTTTAGAATATTAATGAAAATGCCATAACAGAAAGAGAACAAATGCTTTTATATGAACTAGAATCACTAAAGAAGCAATTAATAGTTGGGAGAGAAAAGCAACTCTCTGAGTTAAAAAACAGCAGTACTCAAACACAGGTAGTGTTAATTTGCTGCTCTGGTATATAAATATAATGGCATTGTGACTATGCAGTGTAGGTCATTTCCAAACGATTGTCAGATTTACTTAAATGGGTGTTGATCACATAGGAAGGTGGAGTTTGGCTGATATTCCATTGAAAATAAAGTCTTGTTTTAATATTGCTATAGTAACATCCAACAGGGAAGCAAGAAGTTATTTACTTAGCATAACTATTTAATTCTGACAGGCTGTGACTAATGTTCTCTCATTGCCAGAACTAAAATGTCCGATAACAGGAGATTTAATCATTGTTTAGAATTGCTTGAAACTTGTGAATTATTATTATTTAAATATCTGCATATCTGCATAAATTAGAACATATGGTGATTGCAATATGACAGGATTTTTGTCTCTTTTTTATTCTCTCCCATTACCAAAACTTACCCAGAATGAAAGTGTGAGTCAGACTGAAAATAAAGAGCATATTTTAGAAGTTGAAGATAGAGAAGAACAACACGAACAAGCTTCTCTCGACATTCTTTCAAAAGAGAGGTAAGCTGTCAGAAAGGCTAAAAGGTTTAGATTTCTTTTTGTTCAATTTTTCTGACATTTCAGTGGAATTAAGCCATTCCTATTAAGTATTAATGAAATTCCTATTAATAGGAATTAATCCATTTCTTTTACTTATTTTTTATCCCCTAATTAAAAGTAAGCATGTTTTTAGAGTAGTGAAATTTCCAAACTATAAATTTACTTGTGTTTAGTATATGACTCTTGACTAAGAATGAAATCTGTTTCTAAAATAGAAAATGATATACACACTAGACATAAAATATAGCTAGTGATTGCTTTATCTGCCATGGATTTATCTGTGTGCCTGGACTAGTAGTCATGGTCACACATTCTGGGATCTAACTTTATAAATTACTAATCCCTATATAAAGAAATTATCTGGCATATACTGTAAATATGCTTGTTCATTTGTAATTAACTTTCACTTATTCAGTATGTTCAGCTGATATATATTACATTGCACAGCATATATGTTATAGTAGTAAATGAGTTCTGTCTATTATTTTAATATATGAATACTTTTGTAGTGATTATTTTCTGAAAAAATAATTTGTAACATAAATTGCTTGGTGAACATCTACTTTGGGAGACCATTAATAGTATATTTCTTACATTCAAGAGAAAAGTTGATGCTTTCTTGATCATGGTATGTTATCTAAGATCAAATGTAACAGCCATTAACTGTGAGGAAATAACTTTTTATGAGCAATTGGAGATTATGTGGTAGGATTTAGTAAATAGTTCTTGATTTTAGTTTTAGCAAATTGGTAATCTTATTTGTTACTTGGGGAATGTATTCTCTGTTTTTTTAATTCCTGTCTTGTTCCAAGTGATTTAATGAAATAGTGCCATGAGTCCTAGTCTTTGTGTAAAAGACAAACTGTGGAAGTAGACACCATTCTCTGCTTTAATTTGAATTATATTTATTTTATGAGTTCAGATGTACTTTGCAGAAAGCCAGTAGTAGGCTGATGAAGATTCTGTTGGATATTGTGAAGACTACTGCAGCTGTAGAAGAAACAATTGGACACCTTGTTGTAAAACTTCTAGATCAGTCACCAAAATCTCAGTTCCTTTTTAAAAGTCTTGCATGGGAAGCAAGAACAGAAGATACCATAAAACCAAGCATCTACGTGGGATATGAGCCAGGTACTTGTAGTAAGGTTATGTTCTAGATTTTTATAGGATATTTAGTATCAATAATTTCAAGTGAAATGTATTGAGTATCAGGTACAAGCCCAGAGACAAAATAATTTAATTCAGTCCTTTAGTGACTTATACCTAATAATTTTGGCAAACTAAGGCTATAACTTTCTTGCCTAGTAAATATATCATGAGAAATTCTAGGATTTGGCTATCCTGAACCTTTTTCCTTCTTCCCCATCCAGTTTGGGCTGCACAATCCCTTAATAAGGGCCTCTTTCTGGGAAAGTTTATTATTGCCAAATGTCTCCCTCACAGTTTCTGCAGTGCACATTTCATCACATTGAGAGACCTTAAAATTCAATTTCTCAGTAAAACCAATATGGAAATTTAACATTTCTTTTTTTTTTAACAAATTTTATCCAGTTTTTCGCATTAAAAACAAAAATCTCTTTTTAGTGGACAACAAATTTCCAGGTTATCACCTTTACATACAAATATGACAGCAATTATACATTCATATATGCATACTTAATTCTATTATTACCTTTTCCATTCCAATTTTTCAGTAAGGAGAGAAACAAACACATAAATTCTAGCCTCTTTCATTAATCTCAATCGAAACATCTTTTTTTTCAATTATTTCAAATATAATCCTTTAATATTTATTTTAAAAATAAAGATAAACAATATGTGTTTGCATAATAATAATAATAATAATAATAATAATAATAATAATAATAATAATAATAATAATAATAATAATAATGTTACCAATGTCTCTCCTTGCTTTTAATAGTCTATATTAACTTATTAATTTAGTTGGTTCTTTAGTCTGTCATATTCCCTTTCCATTACACATTCTTTTTATAAATTCAAGATTAATACAAATTTTAACACTAAAAAACAACAAGTATAGGTTTCCCCCCTTTTACTGCTTTGAGTGTGACACCTCAATGATTAAAATATACCTTTATTCCCTCATCTTGATTCCCAATAAACCATTATTTTTAAGAAGTTACAATAATAATCATTACATATTTTCATTTGGATTCCACAGCATATTTTCCCCCTTGATTTTTAATAAGAGTTATCACCTATTTTAAGAGTTATTACCCTATTTTCTCAATATTTTTAATTGCAGAAATATTCTTATTACCCCTTGTCACCCTGCACAATCCCCTTTTTAGTTCATCAACCATTATCTCTGAAAAAACAATTTCTTTTCAACATTTTACTATTTCCGTATTTCTTTATTTCATGCACCTGTTTCTTACTGCTTCTCCTCCCACTCTTTTCCCCATATCTTTTCTCATTCCAGTTTATATCCCTCTCTTTCTTAATATCTTCCTTTCCCCTTTCATGCTGGGTCTTTCTGCCTTTCCCGACTTCACAGGTATTCCCCCTTTTGCTAGCCTTCTTAAATTTCAACTTTTTAACCTTCCTTCTTTCCCCACTTCTTTGTAGTGTTCTTTGTGTTAATTGTCTATTTAAAATGTCTTCTCTTTGAATCGACTCCTCTTCCTCTGAAGCTCTTTCTTCTTGTTCTTCAATCGCCATTTCCATTTTTTCTAACACAGAGCAAAGTGATTCGGCTCTTTCCTGTAGTAATTCTCTCATATTTTTAAGTTCCATTTTTAATTCCCGAAGAGATATCCTCATTACACACTCTTATATTTTTTGATCGTTAAAGTCCACAAAAAAACACTTTTACTTTCCTTCTTTCTTCTTTCAATTTTCTAAAGTTCTCAGTTATTCCAGCCCAGGGTCTATACCAAAAATATCAATCAATCCCACAGTAAGTCTTTCCTTGCTTTTTTCTTTATTCTGGTTCTGCTTTCACTTTCTAAGATTCTTACTTTGTTTCAATGTTTCTTTAATGTTATATCCACACAAGTTCATTCAGAAACAGGATGCTTTCCCTTTTGTTTGAGCTCAAGTTTTTGTCAAAAGGTGGCACTCTCCATTATACAAAGTCTTCACCTTTTCCCCCTATTTTTTTATTTAGGGTTTTTCGAACCTCAATATTCCAGCACAGTCCAGTCTCCGATTTGTAAACTTTATTATTATTATTTTTTGACAATCTTAAGTCCAGCTTTATTTTATGCCTGTTTATTCCCAAAATATTTTCGTCCAATTTAGTTAAATCTTTAGTTCCAGCTTCTCCCTTTCCCGGTTCGAAGCCCTGCTTAGCTGTCAAAAATATTTTCTTTTTTTTTTTCCCTGTCCCTTTGTAATTTTGCCTCTCACTTTTCTTTTCTTAAAAATTCCATGTTACCTTAATCCGGGGGTACTTTTGTTTAATTGTATTGCTCAGTTGTCCCGGTTCAGATGTTATCCACCTCTTTCTTCCCTCCTGCACAAATCTTAATCCAGCTGAGTCCTCCTCTTCGGGGTGGCCATTTTAAACCACCGCTGCAGTCATCTTCGGGGGGGAAAAGACCAAGCCCAGGGGGGGAGATGCGGCTCCCCTCAACCTGGCTTGCGGCTTCCCCTTACACTGCCACCCCTCCAAGGCAACTTCAGCCCCTAATTGTAATAATCAGGGCTCTCCAATGAAAGAGCACAGACTATAGCTGCAGAGAGTCGCGATCTACGATCCGTCAGCGAGGCGGCTCTGCCTTCTTCTGAAACTTAAAACATTTCTCATCTATAAATAATATAAATTCATAATTTGTGTCCATTTACAGTTTTTCCATTCTTGAATCCACAATTTGTTTCAAAGTTATGCTAATTTCTTAGATATGCTTGGAAATGTCTAATTACCTATCAAGTAAATAATTTGTAATAGATCATAACTGCATATTAATGGGGTCTTAATGGTGACTCTGTTATCCCCCTATTATAACTTCAGTCATGTCAATTATTATCAGCTCGTTTGTTTTAGTAAGAAATTATATACATTTTTTTTAAAAACCGCTGCCTATCAGCTGTAATAAATGTGACATTTTATAGTCAATGTCCCTTTGTATCTTAGTAATAAAAATATACTCTGTCTATCACACAAATCCCATAAAGAAACTTTACCTATTTTCTGTGATGATTTAAATTAAGGATGTGCAAAAGTTTTAAATACAAACTATTTTGAGATTGAAACGCTCCATTTAGAATTTAAAACTGCTCTTTGAGTTTTACACAGATTGTTCACTGAAATGTTTTAAGCTTGAAATGGGGCAGTATTGAGCTGGCAATGCTTCTGATAAGATTCAGGCACTACCCTGACTTCAAAATAATGACCTCTAAGAAATATCTGGTGATGTCAACAAATAGATACCACAAATTCAATCTCTCACAACTTTCACAAATCTCACCTTGAGAATTAGAGCTTTTAAAATAAATTTGGAGAAAGTGCATGGAGAAGAATTTAAAGAGTAATGTAGCATTAGATAGCACCTCTTAAAGATGGAGAGTTAATGATAAGGTAGACTTTAGCAATGTATTAAAACAATCTGAGATGGCTATATTGTGCAGTGATAGTCCTGGTAACATTTAACAATGTAGTATTGGAAAAGTATATATCCATCTTTGTAAAATCTACTCCAAATTAATAATTTATGGGCCAATTAAGGGCATTTGCAACCATTCATTTAGTGTCTGTTCAAAGTTACAACAGCATTGAAAAAAAATTACTGGTACTCACAATTACAATCATTGTAGCCTGCCACAGTCACGTGATTAAAATTCATGTACTTGGCAATTGGCATGTATTTATGACAATTGCAATGTTCCAGGATCATGTGATTGCCATTCATGGTCTTCCCAGACAGCTTCTGACAAGCAGTCAATGGGAGAAGCTGGATTTGCTCAACGACCACATCATTCACTTAACCAAGTGATTCGCTTATCCACCATGGCAGAAAAGATTGTAAAATAAGGAACAACTCACTTAACAACTGCTCTGCTTGACAACAGAAGTTCTGGTCCCAATTGTAGTTGCAAGTCAAGAACTATTTGTAGACATTTATCTAAATAATTTTTGATTTTATAATTGTAATGGTAATTTCAATGGAGTCAAATTATAAAATATATTTTAGTAAAATTTTCCATACTTTTCCTGACCTAAACATAATCTCTCCTTACTGTTTTGGCAATCTAATAGGAGACTATAGTGAGTATATTATTACTAATGTTTAATTGGCTTACTTTATATCTGTTGAATAGATTTATCAGCAATGAATACCCTACCTAATTTTCATATTGGATTGGTCCTTCTTGGTTGATTATGCTTCAATCTCAAGGAATTTTGTGTCTTTCTAGAAAAGTATCACCTAGACAGCCAGACTGATAATGGCAATTTCTCTAGGATTCTAATAGTAAGACCGTTGGTCATTTATTTTTAGAATCTAATTCTATTATCAATATGGCACTAGATTTAGGGTAATCTGTGCTATATGAATATAGTGCAATTTTATCTTTCACAATAGACTTCAAAAATGTGATTTCAAAATAGTAATCCAGATTGCTTTTCTGTACTGGTTTTGAAGTTCTGTCTTAGAGAAATAAAGTATAAAATTTGTATGCTCATATTTACATTCCAGGACAGTTCAGAAAAAGAAACATCATTTCAAAGAAAATTTTCTATCTTACACTAGTTAGATTAAAATAATAAATCCAATAAATTTGTGGTTTAAATTTCATAGTAAATTTAGAAATTAAAAATTTTTTTGGTTCTACTGTTATTACACATTGTGATAACAAAAGTGGCATTTTAAAATATTAAATAAACTGTCACATATAGTGGCGAATAGTGCCATTTTTTGTATTGGCTGGAAATGAAATTTATGTCATCTGAATGGAGATATGCATATGACTCGGAAAGGACAAATTGTCTCTAAAAAGCTGGTGTGCTGTTTGAAAATTAAATTGGTAGTATAAGATTTAGTTGTAGCCTTGGCTAGTTCAGGAATTATAGCTTTTTCTAGAAAAAAATGTTTTAGATCTCAGTATTCAACAATAATTTGTAAAGTTCAGAACGTATAAAGCCAGTTCAAATCATATTATACTATGCACCTTATCACATAATTCATTTCTCAACTTAAGGTGTGTTATTAATTTTGTGGCAAAAACATTTGGGAACAACTTTTGAAAAATCACCTATATCTGTATCCAAGCCTACCCAGGTTTTAAGGAGGATATCTGAGGCCTTACTTTGTTGTAAGTTCCCTAAAGTAGCCCCATAATGAGATAGGAAGCAAATACATTTAACAAACCAATAAATAAATAAATAACTGCTAGAAGAGTGAGATATTCGGTTATATATAGATATCTTTAATAAAGATTTTAATTGCTGCTTTTAATGTT